ATGTCATGATTTAACACAAGGCATGGGATGTGTATCCTTGTATAGTTAAATCAGCTGTTACTGAATCTCAAGTAGACTGGCAGGGATCAGATATTTATCAGTCTCTAGATAGCGACATATCTGGGCATGGCCATGCACTTTCCCAAGTCCTACTATTCAGTGGGCCCATTGACATTATACTTCTATACAGTAGAAGGGACAGATCCTGTATCTGTTATTCACATCTCTAAATATGCTTAGCGGCATACCCAACGCATAACTGTACGTCTACCAGTATTTCAGATAGCATTAGTTATGAATCAAAGCATACGGCCCCACATATCAGAGAATGTAATAACTTCAAGTCTGAGGATAGTTATAGCAAGGTCGATTTGAGAATACTGATAAACACATTACTGTAGATCCATGCAGTATTCTCAAGATGGGTCAATCCAGTCACATATTATCAATATAATATGCACCTACGTACAGATTAAGATATCACAATACCTATAGTCTATGAGACGCAACTATCTCATCTCGTACGTACTAGTCTTGATACGTTATGACGTCCGTATTATCATAAAGTGCGACTAGGGATATTCTAGACATAGCCTTCCTCAAGAAGTAACAGTCTCATAATCAGAACATCGTAGTCCTCATCTATGTTACTGAAGCGCTATCGTCTATGGACTGAAGCTATGTTATGTTACACGAGATATAAAACATACTTCAAGGCCTTTCATTCATGATAAAATGTACAGTTACATAGGTATTTGATTGCCTCCAGGGCACCTAAATACAACAAGAATTTCCCGGTGCTCAAACTTTTCCGAGAACCACGTCGCCTCTTCGCGGTCGTTGAACCAAAGGAACGACCCGTCGAGATACTTGTGCGCCGGTGGTGGAGGAGCCGAGGAGGAAGCAACATTCTTGCCGGTGCGGGAACGCTTTCTTTGACCGCCTGTCATTGCAACAAGAGAGGAGAGAGAGATTGCAGAAATTTTGAAAAAAATGAAGAATAATAGCAAGAATGATGAATTATGATGAATATATGGAGAAGAGATGATTGGAATGAGTAAATATTGAGTAGATATCACCAATTTATAGAGTTGAAGCTTTGGAGATTCGTAGAGGTGGTCAAACAGGCATTAATTGCTCTCCAACGTCTCTGCAACGGTCAGAATTTTTAAAAAATCATCGTTGATAATCGATTTACCCAACGTGTAAATCGATTATCTGAGTCTTCAGATTCTCCGCCGAAAGATCTGCAGACTTCAAAAGTCTATTGCCTTGTTTTAGTCAATCGATTGTTTTGCGCCTGACTTCAAATAAAGTTCTGCAGCTCCATATAATCGATTATCATGACTTGGAAAATCGATTGTTGAGGTTTTGCGATGGATTTGCTCCAAACTTCTGCGGACAGTGATAATCGATTATCTCAAGGTTGTAAATCGATTTACACTCAGTCCTGGGAACTTAAAATCGATTTCTTTTGTTCCCCCTGGCTTTAACACCTACAATGAAAACATTTTGGTACCCGTTTGATCTTTTGGGTCCTTGAGGATTAGTAACACGACTTTTTAAACTAATAAACACACGCACCCATAATCACATACACATGGTACGCAAACACACACACACACACA